AACGTTTATAATCTGTTGAAATGTCTTCTAAGAAACGTCGCCAACCTAGCTGCAATCACCACTCTCAGAAATTCAAGCTTGGGCAGCGTATTTTTCTGCAAAGTTGCTACCATTCATTTAGCCACTAGGAGGGCTGTAGAGACGTTCTTGTTCTTTCCAACATATCTCAAGAACGCACAGGCTCCATAACTTTTCTGACTGGCATCACAAAACAGGTGTAGTTGCGCAGTTACATCTCGTGTAAAAGTATCTACCAACGATTTATTGAAGTCTTCTGAATTTGATGTTTTCTGAGCACCCATTCACTCCACTGTTTATGAATGTCTTCTGGTACCTCCACGTTCCAATCAAATTTCATTTTACACAGCTCTTGAAATAGCAGATTTGCTTATATCATTAAAGATGTTATCAACCCAATCGGCTCAAATATTTTTAATACTATTTGCTGCACAGATATTTCACAAAGTTTTAACTCGGTCTGCACGACTCCAAGTATCGACTTTGAGCAACCGTCATAACGTATGTCAAAGGGTTCCATGTAGCTCGGAGCACTTTCAGAGAGTACGAAGAAACGTCGGTTTCCTCAGTCGCCGCAAACAGATGAGGTAAAGTTTTCGAGTTTGACGCCCATTTTCTCAGACGCATACTTGTTCATTCCATCAGCTAATTAGCTTCTCTGTAGATTTCCTGAGCTTCTTCCTTTGCTGGAGCTCCGACGAGAAGGTCATCTACGTAGATTGATTCAGATAAAATCTGGGCTGTAGGCCATAGTTTGCCCTGTATGGGCATTAGATGTTGTCGCAAAGTGGCGTTTAGGGGAAATGGGCTTGCTGTGGTTCCAAAAGGAAAAATGGTCATCCTTCACTCTTAATTTTCAGGTTCGGGCTTTGCTGCAGTTGGAACGTATTTGAACCAGAGAAACCGCAGAGCGTCTCAGTCTTCCTTTCTAATGCCGATCTGTTGACAGGCCTTTTTATTATCGGCTGTTAAAGCGATCAGATTTATCTGGAGTCGTATGAGAAGAGCCACCAGTCAGTAAGAAGATTGGGACCTTTTTCAAAGCATCGGTTCAGTGAAAAGTAATTATGTCCATGTGCTGATGCTTTGAATACCACACGTACTCGTTTAGTCGTAGACTCACTTTGACGTGACTTGCTCATTTCTTTAAGGCAGTTCGCAATCCCTCTCACGGTTGTTATTTCTGTCACTCGCCTTCACATTCGTAGAATGGAGCTGGCTGTCCCTTTTCTTCATGAACCGGCGTAACTCAGAGTCCCAGCTTCGGTTTTCGTTGCATCGCTGAAATCTGTGTCATCGGAAAAGTCCTCCACCGGCGTTCCGAGATGCTCTCTTCTGGTGGCCAGAGTCCTGCTGTGTAGAACTCCCGACGGTTCTTCGGCATCATGAATAAACCAGACCAGTTGAGAGGGATAAGAAATATATTTACTTAACGCATACTCTTGCAGTGACAGGATGTTCATGGTGAACGCTGCAGCGGATTCTCGTCTTCTTATTTTCTCCTCGGTCCGCTCGCGCTCGTGATCTTGCACAATAAAAAATTTGCTCAACAGGGGGAGGGGGTGGATTTTTGAAACTTTCCCGAATTTTTTCGGAAGTTCGCACGCACACATACATACCGCCAGCTAAACATGCTTCAGTTATGATCACTCCTACCCGTTAACCCTCATAACAACTTTCTGTCTGCTTTACTGCTTGAAGGATATTCCAAAACAGTTGTGTCAGCTGATGTGCGAGAGTCTAGTTGTGATGTCGCTCTTTAATTTTAAGCACCTCTTAAAGGGCCTCTTCACGCATCCGGCCCAATATTTACTGTACCTGTCTGAGAATGTTGCCTCCCTCGTTCATTATTTTGACCTGTTGTTACGACTACATCTAATTTTATTTCATGAATCTCTCTCCGCTACGTGGTCCATGTGACAACATAAAATAAGTTCAAGCGAAACGTACTGGCTAATAGCAGAGTGTGAACGGCTGTACTGGTAATTCATGTGTTGCGCACAATGCTGGTGCTACAAAGCTGAAGATTGCACGGGTGCAGGTAACAGAACTTTTTTGCTTTTTTTAATATACAAATATATATAAAACGAGCATTTACACTTCATAATATGATGTAAATGGTGTCGATGGTCTTATTTGGCAACATTACTTCTCCATAGTCCTGAAACTAATACGCAAGTGCCCTAATTTAATTATGCTTACTACACTTCAGTCAGATAATAATAATATTTATTGGGTTTTCAAGTCCCGAATTGCTGGCATGACTTAGAGAGACGCCATAGTGGGGGTCTCCGACTCTCTGTTAGTGTAAAACGGCTTTTCGAGTATGGTTTTTGGGGGGAAGAACTTTAGGGCGTAGGCTTGTCAATCAATGGTGTCCGTCGGCTGTCACGGGAAAATGCATGGAGGAGAGACACAAAATAATTTTAACAACCAACCAATATCTATATAATTGCGATGAATCGATGTAAAACTCCAACAAACACGAATCATTTACAGTATTTAGAGACTTCAACGAAGAAATAATGGATCTTAGGGCCTACTTTTGCCGTCTCCTCTTTGTGTCCTATATATCACTTGATGTACGTTACATGGAGCAACGTTCAAGTAATGCACCGTTCCTCACCCGTTAGATATGCAGAGCTACTCCCGCTTCACCTTATTCACTTCGCGTATATGCGAAGTGAATTAGGAGAACTGGCTCTTTTATTATTCTTGTGACAAACAATGCTTTCCCAGAACGCAAAATTTTTCTGATGTAGTTGACGGTATTCATAATTGAGGCGTATTTTTGTAAGGTTGTTGGGGCACTTTCAATCTACTGTCTAACGATACTATGCACACTCGTTTTAGTTATCTCAAAAGCAGCATTGGTCTCTATATTTAGGTGGAGATGGCCGGCGAGGCACTTCGTTGCGCAGCCTAATTGTTTGATTAGGTATATAGGACATACACAGGTTTTAACTCATGCACACATAACAAACCAGGACTAAACAACACAAAGCAAAATAAAACGCAACAACTTTGAACACGAGCAAATAAAAACACGGCAGATACCACGTGATTTGGGCAGAGGTGGCGTCGTACCCAATGAAGTGTGATGTTATACGAAGCGTGCGAAGGGCACGTGGCTGTGTTGAAATTTCTTATTGAGCGAAACGTTACGAAATGACGCTTCAGATATGTGTAAACGTATGCAAATACCTGCTAACAGTTAAATTTGTAATATATAATAAGTTGTTTACGGTTTTGTGTAGCGGTACCAACAGAAACATGGGTATTACCACCACCAGAAGCAGTAAGCTGATATGTAGCACTTGTGCTCGCGAGTATTGTAGTCCTGGACACTGCTACATAAGTCAGCTTCAGTGGATGGCGTCTAACTACCACTGACGTTAATATTACGTTACGGCTGTTTCACACTAGTTTAAGTTTAATGTTTATAAAAATGAATAGTCATCACTGAATCCCTAATTGACGTTTAATGAACATTAGGGTCTATTTAGAAAGTAGTTTCTGAAATTTGGCACGGCTCCTTGGTAAAATGTTTGAGAGCATATTTTAATACAGCGCACGACTACCCGGACACAAGAGGAGAAGGAACAAATTGCAGTGCTTTCCCTTCCGACATTACTTCTACTCATAGGGCCAACGCTGCCTGTGATGTTTTTCTTAGCACTCTCACGTTAAAATTCCCAATGTCTGTTTGCAACGTCACTGCGTGAATATAAATTGTCAATCACCTGTGCCACATACCTGCATATCTGCGGCACATAGCTGCCCGTAGTATATGGGTATGGACCAAACGCGTTTGGTGAGAAGTGTAGGATGACGTACGGATACGGATTATTCATGTCATGACCAGCAAATCACATTCGTCAAACCATCTGATCCTCCCATGCTAATATTGGTTTTCCCCCAGTTCCGAGAGTCCTATCACGAGAGCACCCTGAGTAGGCGGCTATACAGACAGACAGACAGACAGACAGACAGACAGACAGACAGACAGACAGACAGACAGACAGAAAGATAGATAGATAGATAGATAGATAGATAGATAGATAGATAGATAGATAGATAGATAGATAGATAGATAGATAGATAGATAGATAGATAGATAGATAGATAGATAGATAGATAGATAGATAGATAGATAGATAGATAGATAGATAGATAGATAGATAGATAGATAGATAGATAGATAGATAGATAGATAGATAGATAGATAGATAGATAGATAGATAGACAGACAGACATACATACAGACAGACAGACAGACAGACAGATACAGACAGACAGATACAGACAGACAGACAGACAGACAGACAGACAGACAGATACAGACAGACAGACAGACAGACAGACAGACAGACAGACAGACAGACAGACAGACAGACAGACAGACAGATACAGACAGACAGACAGACAGACAGACAGACATGTGAACGGACGGACGGGTGGAGAAACATCTATGACCTTTCCTTTCGTTTTTTTGTTCGTGCGGGTTCATTAGGAAGTAGTGGTCTGAAGGAATGAAAATGTTCATATCTACTTTATTATGCGCGAGTGAACAGCTACGATACTGTTTCTTTTTCTCCATAAAGGTGAGATGTTTGTTTCTGTTTCTTTCGGAAGGTATTTTTTCGCCGTACATGACGCTCACACATTTCTCACTCTAGGTGCAGGAAGAACGGATGTGTTCTCTCGATCAATTCGAAAATACTCAATTGCATAAACCACATCCCCTATTCTTTCCTCCTTTGTAGCCTACGCTATTTCTGCTTCAAAGCACGTAACCATCAAGAGGAGCTTGTGTGTGCCGCAGTGCATTATCTGTATTTCGCTCTGTACGAGGCATTCTGATCGACTGACGGTTGCCTCATGCTTGCGGCTACCGGTTCTTCTGGCTCCAGGAACTAGCTCTTGGAGTCGTTTCCGCGAACATGTTCTCCCATTTTTATTTCCTGTATTTTTGAAACCATACTCGAGTAGATTCGCTACGTATCAGCATTGTGTGGGAAGACTGCATATATCTCACAGACGTCTTGCTAGTAGGTCTGGTGCCTGGATTTCGACAAAGCGGTGAGCGCAGTCTGATTTTGTCATCTCTCTAATGGCTCGTTTTCGGGATAATGACACCTTTTATAAATATATAGTGTGGTTTATAGCATAAATATGCCCAATGACCATAACTAGTGTCATGTTCCTAGCACACTCCTAACAATGTATGGTGATTTTTAAAAAATTATTGCTTCGAATATTCTGCTCCACAAGATTCGAGGTTTCAGTGTACTGTATTCGTTTACTTTTGTTGATTCAGGTCGTAATAAGGTTAGGGCAGTAGAGGGATGTCTGAAATGCATTCTAATTGGTTACATGATAAAGAAGAAAAGAGAGGTCCATATGGAAATGAGCTGCCGACTCTACTCTATTATCTTCTCTTTTTTTTCAGTATCGAGGCTAACGTCGTTTTAGAGTTGCTTAAGGAGAAACCTTTTATCGAAGACAACGAGAATTGTAGCAATGTTTTGCACAATGCACCATCGTTTCTCGATCATTCTGGCATTCATCCAAATAAGACAAACATGTGTACACAATGATCTGCTTTTGTCACTAATAGTATGTTGTACAGTACGTTTAGTAGTACGCCGTATGCTTAATTAAGTGTCCTCTATAATGGCACATTCACTGCAAGAAATTTCTTCATCCTACGTTGTAACTGAAGACTTACGACGTTGAACTAATGAATTAAAGCTTAACTAATAAAGTAGAACGTTCCTAATTTTTAATGCACATTTCACCATCCACGTGATACCACCATAGGCCCTTAAATCACTCAAAAGCAAGATTCTTCACAAGCATCTTATTTTCGAAGCTGTAATATTACACTTTAACCGTAGGTGGCTACACAGCACGAGTAGAATATAAACTACTTCAAAGTGTAGACAAACCCGTGCCGTAAGTTTTCCGTGCCTGCATCTTGGTGGAATCTTTAGCGGCATCTTCCTGATAATACGCCACATATAACTTTGCTGTGTGCTTTTTGAAGACTGTCGAGCAGCATCAGTTCTTGTGCTGTTACTCTGTGGTATTAAAAAGAAGTCTTTTTGCATTGAAACATGATGCACACTGGCACATGCACTTTGCGTCTTCTTGTTTTCTCCTGGCACCACTACACATCGAAAGTCTTCGCGTTTTCCGACCGCTGATCAGTATGGCTGAGGATGAGTGCATAAGTTTTTTTTCTTCTGTTTTAGGGGTTGTCGCGAGAAACCGCAAACTATGAAGGCTCACACAGGAACAAGCGGCCATGTTTTGATGTTTTGTTTGTTGCTAACAGCGGCTTTTTCCGTGAGCCTATCACAAATTGAACGGAAGCCAGAATATGCAGAATACCAAGACGCCTGGAAGGTAAGCCGAGCAAGCATCGGGTTTAGCAGACCTATATATTATTCTAAAAGGACAGGACGTGCAAACGTAAACAGAAGTATAAAGTCAGGACACCTCAAATGCCCTTTGTGGTGTCCTGACTTTCTTCCTCTATCTCTGTTTGCAGGCCCTGTTTTTTTTATTCGAATACGTACCAACTATCTCAGCTCTCTGTTATTCTACATATTTGGTTTCATTGGTTTATCACTTCATTGCTTTCAATCACTAATCAAGCATTCATTTAAAACTGCCCCAGCAATAGGCAACGCTTTAGCATTCATGACTAATAGAAATAAATTTTTTTAATGTCTTGCAGAGCTGTTTTGTTATGCAGAGCCTTCTCTGCTGAGCTACCTATAAATCAGTGCAAACACACAAATTCTCGGTTCACACAGACTTCACCAAACTATGATTGTGTTTGTTGTATTTTTAAGAGTCAATTTTACACTGCCAGTAGACAGGAAGGCTGGAATTCACAGAAATTTTATACACACAGGTTGTTCTAATTGTGAGGTGCGAGCTTCTCGTTGCAGGGAATAGGTTCAATTGAAGACGACCGAGTCAGACTCTAAGTGAATTGAACTCATGTGAAACAGTCACCCAAAAGCTGCCTACGCGGTAATTTTTCGGTACTTTGAGATACATTGTTTATTCGTGCATTTTTGTACATTGAGTATTTTTTTCAAATATCAGGTGATTACCATGCACACCATTTACTTTGGCACCAATAGGGTACCCTGCTCTTAAACGTAAACTAAAAATTCACGTCAAAGCACAGGCATCAGTTTTTAACACGAAAATATTTTATGCCGAGGTCCAACGAGATTTCAGCGAAGTATTTCCGTCATGGAAGTAACGCTGAAAGGTGTGCACTATCAGAAGACAAAGCACAGAGTTTCCGTCGTAGTCCAAGCCTTGAATTCTGGCTCCGCGACAGAATAGGCCGGATGCACTATCCACTGCATCACGTTTTTATTTATTGTTATATACTACACTACAGCGGCATACTTTGAAGGCATTAATATATGTTTTCTGTTCCTATTACTGCCCTCTAGCTCAAAGCGTTCTTGGTAAAGGTCCGTAATGCATAATGACTGTGGCATCCACAATGAGTTCCTTAAAACCGTTGTTTCTAAGAGGCCATCCCATTGGGCACGTTTCCAACGCGTTTCCTATAGAAGCGCCATTTGTAAACGCCTTCACACTCCCCGGCACACCCCCAGATGGTGACCTCATTCCAAGCGTCAGCATCCCTCATAGCATTCATCCATAGCAAAAATATGTCTTCGACACCTGCCGGCTTTGGCTGGCTAAAGTCTACCGTTCAGGCCGAAAGACACGACGTGCGTTGCGTTTTTCTCTGGTCGGGCACTGGTGTTCAATGACTCCAACATGCCACGTGAAGGCGAATGTAGCCCAAATTCGGCATTCAATCAGTCATATTCTTCTGGCGATCACATAGCTTTTACTGGTTCCACTTTCATCGTTAACTACTACGTCTACCACAAGCATATAAGACCACAAGGTTTTGTTTAGTCATTAGTGATGGACGTCACTCGTCGGTATGTAGATATACGGCGAAACGTCACAGTGGATGCCATAAGTGTTACTATTGCTGTCAAGCACCGACAGACGTTGCGCAAGCTCTTATATCAATGCACAGTAAACTTCAAATGGCTTCTCTAAGGAGCCATTTTACTTTCGTGTTTTACCGATTCCTATGATGAAGGGATCGACCATGCTTTTTTTTAATGCGAATGCATTTATTAGTCGGGCTATGTCAGGAATCCAGCGTTGTCCGCGATGTCCGTGGTGGTGTACACGCGCCGGAAGGTGTTATTTCTCCACTCTCACTCCTTCCATAATTACAGCTGCGGGCGCGCGCTTATACTTACCCCCCCCCCCCCTTTTTTTCGATGTGAACGGGATGCTATTGCACGATTATATGCATATCACGAGTAGCGGACATCTCCGCACTTTTACAGAATCGAGAAGCACTTGACTATAGCTTGTTGAATATAAAAGAGTTTATCTCCAATATTTAGTGAACTTTTATAAATTCAGGTGGTCAACATGAAAAACACCAATGATGTTGAGCCGACATGTGTTCTCTCTAAGCCGTTACGAGTGCAACCATAATTCTGTGATAGATGGGTTCGAGTGCAGCTTGAATCATCAAGATTATCTTTTGCGTTCATCCGAATGTTTTTCACTCTGCATTCGCTGTCAGAGAGACTACTGAGACAAGGGTTCCCGAACGCTATCCTGTTAAGGTGCCCAAGAGGTTCTGTCATCGTTCTTGGTACACTTTCAAACACCTGCCGGCCGCACCTACCCTCATACCATGGGCGTTACCTGCGGGTGTGCACCACACGGGATTGAGAGAACGGGTTTTCAAAGGTGCGCGAGAAACATGTTACGTTACTTGTGTGATGAACCGCTAATCGTGTTTGTGATAGAACAACGCTTTTCTCCCATCTCGGCCTGCCTGCCGGCCTGCCTACCCGCCGGCCTGCCTACCCGCCGGCCTGCCCACCGGCCTGCCTGCCTGTCTGCCTGCCTGCCTGCCTGCCTGCCTGCCTGCCTGCCTGCCTGCCTGTCTGTCTGTCTGTCTGTCTGTCTGTCTGTCTGTCTGTCTGTCTGTCTGTCTGTCTGTCTGTCTGTCTGCCTGTCTGTCTGTCTGGTTGTCTGTGCGAGGATAAAAGGGTTTTACGCTTACGACTGTCTGAACATGGCAAGCATAACGTGAAAATGCCATCGTATACGTAAATGAACTCTCTGCCAAACGCGTGTGGCCCATACCCATATACCCCGGGCACAACAAACGCCTTATAGAAAGTGGTTCCATGCAAATCATACAGCGAGTAATTGTCAGCGAGTAATTGCAATAGCAATTATATGGACACTCTCGGATGAGTTTTACCGCCGGCGTCTGGGTCACTCACCGTGTATGTATGCCTATCTTTCTCTCTCTCTCTCTCTCTCTCTCTCTCTCTATATATATATATATATATATATATATATATTGAAATGCAAGAAAAAAAATGGTCCTGCATCTGAATGTTTCACTGCAAGTGTCGTCGAAGACGATAGTTTTGTGACTGGAGATAGTGAATAAAACGTTTATTTGGTGTCCTGTGCGAAAAAATCGCTGAATTGTATTCTGGAGGCACTGTGTTAGAGTGCCTCGATTCGTGCAGCGAAGCGGAACTAGCGCATCGAGGCACGTGAGACACGAGCGCTATCTGGCAGTTATCTTCAAAAACGAAGGAATGCGTGCGCGCCTGTCTCGGAGGTGATTAGGTGTAGAACGCAAAGCCCAGGGCAGGTGCCACCACCGCGTCGTCTTAGCAAAGCTTTGGAAACACTTGCCTTTTTGTGTATAGTGTTGCATTGTCAACGCAGCGTGGTAAACGCTCCGGTCCTTATAATAACTTATGTTTGCCTTCTCTAGTACAAAGGCACATATACAGAATATTGATGTGTTGTTATTGTGCCTCTGATACATGCAATGATTGTTTTTAACTGACAATTGAATATTGGTGGGCCCTGCGGATGGAGTTTGATTTTGGCCGCTGGAGATATCGTTTTGGCGGTCAAACAGACAAATGTACACACAGAGAGACCAAAATTTTGGTGTCCAAGTTCCCCAAGAAAGACTTTGCCCCGCGAAGTCAAACTTGGGTCATCTGAACTGTGAATACGAGGTGTTAACCACTGCGCTAACGAGGAGCAGGTCCTTCATCGTTCAAACGGCAAGCTATATATATTTACCACTTACTGCTGCTGACGGGAGTTGGGGGGGGCATGTGTTTTCAGCACTACCTAGCAAGATGGCACAACGACCGTGCATCGCCACATCGTACTTTGCTCTGCTTAGAAAATTGTAGCGCCACTCCGTCGCGTGCCTTTATCTCGCGGTGGCGAGGAGGTGAGGATCGTACGTCTTGGCTGGCCTCAGGCCTTACAGTAGAACGATTCTGTTGTAGTTGCCGGGTGCACAAGTGTCGCTGCAATTGTTGCACACTCTCCGTTTGCGAAAAGCGCGATGTAACAACTGAGACACAGTGAAGGAAAAACTGAGACGCTTATTTGCGTGCATCTGTACCTCTGAGTACGTTTCGTGCATTATTTGTGCGTGAGAAACGCGGGGCACGTTTTTATCTGGTTTCCATTCTGCGCAGTGACTTTCTCATTTGTTGCTATCACGATCATTGACTCGCCTTTGCGGCAAAGCTGTGAATTTGCCGGCATTAAGCCCTTCGGTACGAGGTGGTTTGACGTGTTTTTGTAGGTGTAGTCGCTGCGTTTTTATTGTGAGCTTACCTGCTACATCAACTAAACTGGAGTATAAAGGGCCCTTAAAGTTTGACGTACTGTTAGCATTCACGTATTACCACAGACGTCAGTATTACGGAACGATGTGCACTTCACTGTGCGATGATAAGGATGTCATGCCCAAAATTTCTTAGCGTATTTCTCGGTGTTGCTCAACACTTCAATATACCTTACTTAATCATAGAAATTCATGTGTAGTGTTCAACAGTCTGGTGTAAAAAAAGGAGCCCACACTAGAAACCCACATGACGTTATCCCAACATGATGCATTTATCATGAGAGTAAAATGGAATATTTATCGTTTTTTATTACACAAAAAGTAACGGTGCACTGACAGTACGTCTGCATAGAGGCCAAGATATTGAAAGTCCCGACGAGGCTCTGTGGTCAACTGCCTGCCACACGGAACGCAGGTAGGCCGCGGCGTCTCGGAAGGTGTCAAAGTACTGCAAAAGTTGAAACAACTGAAAGCGAAGATTTTGGTTAACTGCATGGCTTCTATCCTGGTTGACGAGTCGCTGTGTGTTGTTGCAGCCGAACAAAAAAAATTTCGCAGTGGTTTCTCCTTCATATATTAACGCCAAGGCTTTCGTAGCTGTCAACTCTACTTTGAACTGTCATACAGGTGTGTCGATGACAAAGGTTAAAACAGCAGCAAAGCGCTCTGGAAAACGGGTTGATCTATAAAAACCAGCCAAGGCTGTTCACAACAGCACGCGGGATAACTTTGAAGTGCTCTTCAGAGCCAAACCACACAAGAACACTGTCCCTAAGGGCGAGTGTTTAAGAGAGTGATGCTTGGCAAAAGCCTTTGGACGTGTATATAAGAAATGGGCTGGGTATTTTACCTGTCAGTAACCAATTTATTGCTAACATACTGGACACAGTAATCAATTTCTTATAATCCTATTCGTACGGTGGCTTCCTGGAGTTTTCCATCAATGTTAAGGAATCACTTTATTCTTTACGAGAGAGGAGACGATACTGTATTGCACCTGGGATCGCCAATACTTTTTACGAAAGGGGTGTATTTGTATTAGCTCCTGCGTAGCTCCTATTCTTAGCGACTTGCTTTTATCCCGACGAAAACACGACATTTTACTTCAGGTACATAGCACCACACTTTTTAAGAAATTTAGATACGCTGATGACCTATTACTTTTATTGACTGCGATCCGAATATTTGTTTCACGACAATTCACTTCAAGTGCAAAGCACCACACTTTTGAAGAAATTTAGATAGGCTGATGACCTACTTACTTTTAATGACTGCCACCAGAATATTTTGTTAAAAATTCCTAGTTGCCTTTCGCGTTACACATGATCTGTCGATGAACGGTTCCATTCGCTCCCTTGACCTTAGACTAACCAGTTAGAATAGTTACACGTGTTTCTCATAGGAGCCACCAGCCAACAAATCACTTTGCCGTATACGCCCGCAGATTCCAAGCTTGTTAAGCGGACGATGGTTAGTTTATGCCTTAATAATGCCCTGAGAAAATCTTGCTGCCACGTGGTGAGCTCAAATTTTGATCAGCAGACTAAACGTTCATCTCGGGCAGAATATCCCAAACATGTTGCGGTGGCTCTCGCGGAGCGAATTTCAATAGAAGCGCAATCCTCTGCGCCAAAACAGGTAGCTGATGGCGCTTCCCGCAAGCTCAACAAAATAGGTGTGTCTCTACATAGATGGGATATCCCGTAACGTGAAAAAGATTGCCCAGAAGGAAAGGATTAAGATTATGTTTTCAGCTCCCAACAAGCTCGGGAAGCTATGCAAGCTGACGAGCCCCGATGCCGTACCGCCTGAGAAGTACACTAAGCAGCATCAAAACAAGTTCGTTTGGTGTGTCGACCGTGTGGTATACAGCCTAACGCTTTCTCGCGGCAAAGCGAAATGGTCGGCAACTTGTGATGCCTCAGTGACTGGCTACGTGAACGCCAAGTATAAAATGGCAGCGGAGCTTTATTTTTAATTCCTTGTCGCACTTGTAGCTCTCTACTTTCCTTTACTTTTCGTGCAATTGTTTCCCTTGACAAAACACACAGAGTCTGAGGTGATTGTGAAAATATATAAAATAGTGAATTGGGCTAGTTCGAACATACTTATCACGACCAGCGCAAAAAAAAAAAAACTCTGAAACCCAAGTGCTCAAAGGCACCAGTTCAGCGCTTGTGTCGTGCTATTACTTGTGTTTTTGTGCTTTGTTGTGTGCTGATCATGATTAGTGGAAATAGGCGACAAGTGTGTTCACCATCACTGGCCCTTGCCGACAATCAGCCTGTCTTCTTGGCGGCGGCATCTTGCGGATCGTTACTTTTGTATACATCGTACATGCATAGCGCTTTTTATAGCTTCTACGTGCACGCATACGCAATGTATACCGTAAGCACACTATCAGATGTAGTGGCAGATTAGATTCAGTTGGAAGTTAGCACTGGGTGTTCCTGGCTTATCGACCGTGTTGTTTTGTTGAGTCCTTCTGAAATTACGAATCGCCAACTTCCAGAAATGCTGTTTTCGTCTTAGTGACAGTACCGATTTATCATAACTTCATGCATCTGTTACCATGTCCACTACGTAGCATAATTTTTTTATGGAATAAGATGTTCCGAGCCAACATATTACTTCCAAGATCTGTTGAATGTTATCTTGTTTTTGCAATTCAATGAGGTTCAGCTGTTATTCACTGTCAGAATCTCATCTTGTTCAGCTTGACCCAAAACCAAATGTGTATCAAGCTAAAAAGGGTACAGGGAGGTTATTTGTAGTGTTTTCACAGTATTTAGTATTTATCATGAATCCGGGAAAAAAGAAAGTGGCGCGAATAAAACTTTGTGCTGGTAAGGACCAAACATAAAACTTTCGTGAAACGCCGCTGATGCTTTATTGATAAGCTATCGTGGTGATCTTTGTAAGTGTATTTATGTGCATGTAAACCTGAGGTGTTTACCAGAGCAGCTCGTGGCCATGACGGCGAGTTCGAAGCTTTTTTCTGCCTGCTGGCACCACACATCGCATGATATTTTTACCTACTGTAAATGCTTTCTGCTCATTTATATGATAAATACTACAATCCAGTTAAATGACTACAATTAAGGTCTTCTTCCACGGCGTCCCCTCCCTAGCCTCATAGTGCGTTGCTTTTCAAAATAAGACTGTGTATAACATATAGATGTGATTGTTACGTTCTCTGTCTTACTACGCTTCGTGCGTACTTCGATATAGATGTTCAATTCTAATATTCAATCCAGCACACCACATCCTTTTTTTACTCCGACTATATTTGTGCAGCAGTCCTTGATCTTGTATAAAAAACCAGCGCGGAGCTGACCATGCTTGGAATTCGGTGCCCTTCTTCTCACTAGTTAGTTGGTGCCGCTCATGATATGCCCAATATCTCGTCCCGTAAAAAGTTTGTTTCACAAACCGTGCAAGCGTAATAACCCTTTTGATAGCGTAGCCTGTTTTTTTTTTCTTTTTTCCAGGCGCTAAAAGTGCCCGGAAAGTACTATCTCTACATGAGGTCATACGAGTACGAGCCATATTACAATGAAAAGAAATGCGTTTACAATGAACTGCTTTCTGTAAATGAAGAGGACCAGTACACCGTCAACGCCGTTGGAGACATCGATCCATTTACCCTTGCAAAGTAAGAATTACAGTAGGACACACCATGACACGTTTCGTTTTTTTACGCGTTTCAATTTAATTCTATGACTACAAAAATATGACACGATAGTTCTATGCACTGGTGCTTGACCCAAATTGCACCAGTAAAATATCTGAAGTCTTGTCTCTTTTCAGAGCTGGGTTTTTACGCGAGCTTTCAAAAATTAATATTAGAAAGCACATACAACATATCAAATAAAAAGTAGCCAACGCGGCAAAATATTTTTTCTGCCTTGTAACTGAGAGGACTGAAAAGGAAAATAAGAGATAAACAGACCAAAAAAGAGTGAAATACTATGTGTAGAGTGAGATACAATGACACGAGATTCAAGGTAGCTGGCATTCAACAGCGAGCCTTTAAAAAAGCACACTATCATCCAGGATAATGAATCACAACTGCGCCGTTGAGTTTTCTCCACCCACATTGTGGCACGTGATTATATATTTGCAGATCAAAATAAGTACTGACCACATGAAAGAAATAGTAGTGACCTTTTTGAATGGTAGACGATAGTGCCCAATACACGCAAGTACTCATGTGCATGTGCTCGCTTTCTATTTCCGACATCTTAGTCAAGTATAGAGAAGCATTCGACGGAAGGCGTAACAATCTCGTTATAAGTATGGCAGAATAAAAAAGTATTTTACAGAACAATATAAGACCAATAAATTATCATTGCTATGTATTCGATAGTTGAACCTTCCTCTATGATTACGTTCGTTCTCTGACAGTGTTAGGTCATCGCTAAAACAGTACTGCAACATATTAGATGTTATTGTTTCTGTATTTAACGCCAGTGATTGGGAAACCACCGTTCTCGCTAGTGGACTGCGCTTTAGAAACATGAGCACAGATGGTATAGCTGATTATTCGTTGCAGGTTTTTTGACAATGTTTCGCGAATGCCTGCTATTTTTCTTGATTTCGCAGGAGCAACAGAACAGCATACGCATGGGTTCGAGCCACTGAAGGGTATCCTGTTCCTGACGTCATCCAGACTTCCACTTCCCCGTGTAAGCTATATAACTCAAGAGTGTCTCTTTTAACATTCCGGATACTTGTCTTACGATAAACACTAAGACCTTATCCACTATACGCCAACAGCCATTATTACTTAGCCATTATAAACACTAAGCCATTACAAAGAAGTATGTCTACTTAGGACAGGAAGTAGTCATAGAGCCAAAATGTGAAAGCGAAATAACTAGAGGATAAGGTGGAGCGATTTCGGCAAACATTCTGAAGTCATCAATGGTAGTCTACCACCATCCCTCATGAGGAAGGTACGTAACAACCGTATCTTACCAGCACTTACCTACTTAGCAGAAACCTGGAAGCTTACAAAGAGGGTTGCACTTGAATTAAGCTCGACGCAGCGAATAATGGAAATGAGGATGATAGATGTAACCTAAGAGTAAGGAAGAGATCAGAGTGGGTCAGGGAACAAACCATGGTTAAGGATATCGTAGTTGAAATCAAGAAGAAATAGACATGGTCCGGGCATGTAACCCGCCAGCAGGACAACCGCTGGTCAATGAAGGTAACTGACTGAATTTCTAGGAGAAAACAAATGCCTGGAGAGGAGAGTAGCAAATTGTACGGGCAGAGCAGATTAAGAAACTCACAGGTATAATACAGCGGCAGGACCCGATTGATTGGTGATACATGAGAGAGTCCTTTGGCCTGCAGTGGGCGTAATCCGGCTGATAATAATGATGATGAAGATCAGCGGGAAGCAATAGCTTTAAATTCTGTATCGAATCCTGGATGCAGTGTTTCTTATTCCCTACGTAACAATTGTTGTTCAAAGTGATCAGTTCATTATGAGGTCAAGACGCTCAGAACTGTATTCAAAATAAATTTAGTGTCGATGCAAAAAAATTCAACAGAACTCATGCATCTTGACAACCAATGTTACCCGAAGTATGCGCAAGGAATGTGAACGTGTCGTATTTTTTTCTTAAACAACACGTTATGAAAGTATGCTAAACGTATGTACATATGTTGCACGCCCAGAAATAAGTCGAAGTAACAAATGTTTACATAGCCAGTTGTTTGAGAGAAAACAGTGACGCCAACAGCAACATGAGTATGGGAAACACCAGAAACGATAAGCTGATATTAAGCGCTGGAGCTTGGTGAACCACGGCATAACGCGCTTTCGTATTAAAAGACGTTTTCTTTTCCCTGAACAAGAATCATGTTCAGAATGAACCAATTGACATCACCTAAGCAGTAATTGCCTAGTACCTATTTTTTCTTTCCAAATATTTTCCTTAGAATTTGTGCAAGACACTTTTCTTCGCACTATAGTGAACGCCGCATTTACATGTGACTGAAACTAACAGGCATTTTCAAAGAGACCATGGGACAGCTGCCAAAATAAGAGCTCACAAAAATGCGTGCTTGCGGTTATAGTGAGATTAGAGCAATTCAGTCCACATTGCTTTCATGTGGAAAACTTGGAAATGTCTTTTTTTCGGTTTTGCGCGATAGCACGGGAGAAATTCGTGGAGTATCCTGTCGCCTTCACGGAGTACAACAACTGTGAAGTACTCAGAGTTCCACACAGGAATAACGGTAAGCTTTTTCGAGAAATTTCAAAGCGCATGACTTATAAGGACCTGCTCAAAATGGCATTTAACACAACTTGCCATTTTGTTCCAGGCTGCGAACTCTGGGCCAAAGCGGGAGAAGTGCACAAGATTGAATCCCTTTGCTTTTTCGCATTCCACTTACTTTGTGGGCCGGAGAAATATATGGTGTACGATAAAGACCTATGCGAATTATAATAAAAAGGTTTTTTTTCCAGTGACTTTGCATTTTCAATTCTTAGGTTTTTGTAGTGCTTCGTCAATCGAATAGGATGATTGCTGGCTATTAGACACACACGGTGTAATGTCCTAGAAAAGTTGACCCTATTGTGCTTATACCATGCAAAATATAGAAGCCTAACGGTTATTTTTGTGAGTTTGATGCATGCTAGGCATTATAGTACGCACGTGGTTTTCATAGCAGTGACTGTTTTCTGCTCACTTATTTTGCTGTCAATATTACTTGTCACTGAAAGACAACTAGGGTCTCTCGTATCAGGAATGCACAATGAACAGCTTATCACTTTTTTCTTATGCAAACAACTTTACTCAACAGAAACCAGCTACCATGTGAAGCTATCTAATGATCCTATGAAGCCCGATGTGAAGCTATCTAAGAGTGTCTTTGAAGGACTGACATGGCGGTCATGTTAGCCAGCTCCTTTGTAAAACCCACTGCAATCAGCTCTATTTTCTCAGTCTCCTTGTTTTCTAACAGGAGCACTCATTAGGGTACTCCTGCTAAGAAATTATTATGTATACGTATACTCGGCGAACACTTTATGGGGTGTTTATGGGGTGAACAGCCAGGGCTACGAAGCCCTAGCACACTCTTTGTTACTACGCTTGTGCATGTAGTCTACGAGTGCTAACTTTTGTACACTGCATAGCATAATGAAAATTATCCAAAAAGATGTAAATATTATGTTCAAGAGTGTTCGCACTAACATTAACGAGCATCAGCCGTGAAGGTTTCTCGTTTTTTGCTGTTTCTAGTTTTCCGGTTTTCTGGTGTCATACGCACAAGGGCTAGCGTTGGCTTAGCCACTATCGGCATCGCGCAACAGTTTGACAGCACTGCAGCATATTTGCTAAGGTGCGCAACATTGATTCCGTTAAATTGCTTTTTGCAGACCTTTAAAGGCTTCAATATCTTTGGGAATGTGACGGACACATGGCAGGTCATCTCTGCAGTCTGGGGCACTGGCGGAAGATCATCTGATGTCATCACCTGTGCGAATACTTTCTTTCCTTGCGCACTTTTTATGTCACACTTAGAGTGGGGAGCAGCTACAGTGTCCATTTCGTCATCATTCTCAGACGGCGAATAGTCGGTGGCAAGGTTTGTGCCACACGGTTCGCTAGGATGCAGTCCAAGCAACTTTCCGTAGCTGTGCTGTGAGGACTCGCTCGTGCAGAAAGGTTTACAAAGGGGTAGCGTTTTCGGAATAGGAGTGTTCTGGAGCGGCGATAAACGTGGCCCTTCTGAAGTCAATGGGCTAGATGAGCTTGTCTGGAGTGGGCTCATGGAACATGATGTTTGGAGATGAACTAGGGCAGTTTTGTTGAGCTGGATCCACAGGGGTTTGTTCTCGTCAGGCTCATACTCGAGTCGGAGAGGCTCGGCTGTTGACCGCAAGAGGTCAAAACGTGACAATGCGGACGCGTCAAAATTACTGACATTTGACATCCAACGTCGTCGCACTGCACGACGACGTTGGTAGATGGCTGGCAAATGACAGGTAACTTAGGAAGTCTGAAGTGGAGTTTGGCTTGAGCTGCGTGAAACCAATCTTCGCCTAGAATAAAGGGAAGGGCGTTCCGTTCAAGGATGGCTGCTTCGACAATTGCAGATAGTGGTCCAATGGTAACTTTTAAAAAGGCAGATCCTTCAGGCACAATGGAATTTCCACCGACGAGGATCAAAGGTGGTTTCGTCAACAGCTCACTTTTAAGGTTTGTTGCTACTTTTGTTGCTAGAATGGTGACGTTTAAGCCACTGTCAGGAAAGGCACTGATTTCCCCCACTCCGTTGACTTCAGCAGGAACCACGGCACATCGGAATTTTGATCCGTACAGGGTGTCGTTGACGTGGCCCACAAATGCTGTTGGTCTTTGGGGACTGTCTGCTTGTCGTTAGAAGGGAGCTTTAATGCAGTACATTTACTTGCAATGTGACCCTTCTGTTGGCTCTGTTTATTCGAAAGTTGCTCACTGAATTCTTTTCGGAGTCCTGCTTTCCAGATAGTCCAGGTGGTAAACTGACGCTCTGTTGAGGCATGTCAGTCTGCTTCGACTCCATGAAGCTTCCCTTGCGCTATGGCGAGGAGAGTCGCGTCTTCCGATTGTGCAAGCCATTGAACGCACTCCAGCTCTTCTATCTAGATCTTTAATGTCAGGGTGTCACTTCCGTTGAAGGTAGGCAGCGAATCTGAGAGATTCGGCAGCATTGTCATATGCACTTGGTTCATATGACTCGCCATCGTTGTCGTCATAACGACCATATTCTGGTGAAGAAAGGCCGCCACACGTGTCATGTTCCCTACTGGGTGTCACGTAAGACATGGCATGGCTATAGAAATGACACCGTAGGCGCTTGCGTGGACGCTAGCGGCGTTAAAATGTCGGACGCGCTTGGCTCGGGTTCGTGAGCTGGCGGTGGATATTTAGCGATATCAACTAAAATTCGGTCGACGAGTTCCTCCTTGTTGTCGTTGGTGGAGAGGTTGCACGTTGCATTTCAGTTCGAATTAACTGTACACTCACGGCGGCGAGGTCTTGGCGTGTTGCCAGTTCATCAAATGAACGACATCATCGTTGACTCACCGGGCTGTTTAGGCTTAGGGCTCGTTTTGTCCACAAGAACGTTTGGTCGAAGGCACGGTGACTTACTTGGTGGCAAAGTGGCTATAGGTGGTTTCGGACGTCGACTGTGCCATATGTTAGCGTACGAGACGGGCCGAAAGGGACAAAAGGCTTTTAATCGTTAGAAGAAAGGCTCAATGCTCACACGCAGCGTGTTCGATGCTCTCCACTCTTCACCGGTAACTGCAGGGTGACACCCATGGTAGCTTTACCTTCTTCTTGAACCCATCATCTGTGAAGCTGGAGCTCACATTCCGTAAACAACGGTGGCGTCGCTCGGGTCCAGCATGTTCAGATCAAAGCTTATAAGCGAGTATGAGTGCGTGTTCGTCAGGTGATGTGCATTCATCGAGAAGGTAGAAACGAAGACAGTGGTGCGTCGTGAAATATATTGTTTCACGCACATGCAATCATGGAGTATTTGTGTGCAAGTGATATCTTCAGCGGAACTGGGACTCTAATCGCTATAGCTGCCTTGAAAGTGACATAGGAGACCTGTCAGTCTTCAGCAACACCAGCTGCTTGGAAGGAAGAGTGCGATTGAAAACTCTACGTAAAGCCAATGAACCATTTTTATAAATTGCTTTGCATACCTGTTTGGTGTTTCAGCTGCCTAATATTGTTTATAGAATACCGTAACACCACTCCTGTCGGTTTCTACAGAAGGAGTCGTTTCTTGCGCTTTTCCTGGGTAACAGACGCGTTCATCTACATTACCCTGTTGACTATACAATAACAGCGTTCTTGGTCGAGTAAAGTTTTGCGGTTTTTTTTTTCACTTAAATTTACAAATGTCAGACGGCCCCCCATGACTGATCAGTGCCAAGATTTTTGCTTCCCGTCCTTTCCTTCGCGTCTCCTAAAAATAACGTGAGCGCCTCTAGAAAGCTCTTGCGTCTCTAAAAGAAGAAAAACAATGGTGCTAACCAAGTATGCACACAAATTTAGAAAACGATTACTTGGCTTTACTTTGTTCCAGTCACCCAGCATCTGCTCGGCTATCGTTTTTTTTTCTCTAAGATAAACCTCAGCACATCAAAAAAGTTTCATGTTCTTTCCCTTATATTTGAACATTTTATTTATTTCTTCTCATATAAATAAAGTAAGATTTATAGCATGTTGATCGTGCGAAAAGTACATGTTAAATGCACTTGTGAAACCGAAACCAAAAATCACACGAAAGTGGACTTGGCGCTATAACACATGTGCAGAAGCTCAGCCCACGTAGCTTTGGCTGTGCTGCATCAAAAACGTGTGGCTGCGTATAGTTGTATATATACCGTATAACGTTTTGTTTTGTATATGATGTCAGAAAGAAAAAAACGAGGCCCACTCGTGATATATTTCCACAGAAAAACTTCAGAGCGCAGCCGACTATTGGAAACTAAACGCCCACGTAATAGGTTGCACCTATCCCTGTGTCATCAACACTGCTGTCTCCTCGTAGCCTGTGAAACGCGAGTGCCTGAGCCTGCGCTGTGATATTCATTAAGTGATTGGCAAAGGCATTATTTTAATACTGCCCAAAATAGTCGCACCAAAATTGGATTCACAGAAATAACGTCTTGGTTACAGTGAACAGAGCATTAGTCATTCCTTATTTTCACACGCAACAATTTCTAAAGACAATCGTTCGGCCCGGGAACGTGTAAAGAAGAGCTCAAAAGGTTTTTGAATGCTAGAAAATATACTATATTTTACCAGTGAAGCTCGTAAAGCTAAAGGTAAAACATTCATCCATCCGCCCTGGAAAAAAAAAACCTCTCGGCCGTTGCAGAGCGACAACCAAGCCATAGATGCGCACCACTTAGGTTTATCCCTGCCAAGCGGCGCATGCACTAAGGAGCAGCCGCCATTTCAACCAGCACGTGGTGAGGGCTGCATGTGTTATCCCAAAGTATCCGCACTGACCTCCTCAGACCGAAGGTAAGCAGTCCTCGTACTAGTCTCCTTTCTCTCTCTTTTCCTCTGAAAGGAAAAAAGACACCGCGACCATCTCCGCCAAGCTACACCCATTGACGGAGATAGTCCGCGCAGCGCCGCGCCAGCCAAGTGCGAGCGACAAAAAGCCCATGCCTATACGGACTGGAACACGCCTATCTCGCATTTACACGCGTAGACTCCTGGCGGCATACTATCCCACCTAGTTGTGATTTTGCTCTGAAATGCCCGGCGTACATCTATAGATACATACTACAGCAACGTTAACTCGGCTAGTCACCACTCTGCGACTTTAAAATAACAAAAAGCGCCTGCTTACGCTGTTCCCGTTTACAAGAAGTCGTCTGGGCATCTCTGCGCTGTCTTTCAATGTGAAGCAATCAGTGAATCGGCACTAGAGGAAGATATTGCTAAG